ATGATTCTTTTGTTTTTAAAAAAAATGTCAAACATCGTCACTGGCGTAATTGATTGCTTGCATTACATTTACTATACCGTGACTGGAAAATCCCACCACTGCCCACGAGGTCACTGAGTTCAGTAGGCCTAAAGCCAGAGGCGTATCCAGGTTTTCGTTGTAGGGGGAGCGAAAAGAGCAACAAAAAGGCGCCGAAGTTTTAACACGTTCTATATATGTGTATTATATACGTGTATTATATATATATATATAATTACTAGCTGTATGTCATTACTTCGCTATGATGTAAAATAAATTGAAAGTAGCACTCCGAAGAAATAAGAAAAAACACGCAATGTAGGCCGACAAACCATAAATTGTATCAATCTAAACAAAAACAAAAATGTATACACACACTAAAACCAAAAACAATGAACGTAACACAATCTGTTTTGTAATTCGTGTAAAAAAAATTTCTTACATAATAATTCCTGGGAAATTATTTAAGACAAGTGAATAAGGGGAAATAATCACTCTCTTAATATAAATATGTATATATCTACACATTTAATTATAAATATCAAAACAAATAAATAATTACTTTAGAATATAATGAAATTATTTAACACTATTCGTGTTTATAAAATGTTTTTGTCTATAATCAGAATTTAATATATCGTCATCATAAATGCTAAAGTAATACAGCATAATAAAAGTTTTTAAAATCAGAGTTTGTATAAAATCACGCTTTTCGATATAATAGAAAAACATTCGGAATAACAGTTTAACAGCCTACATTTAACTAAATAACGGTCTTTTAGTTCAGATCATACATTTTTAATTAACTACTGCTTCTTTGTGTTCTTTAAAGATCATTTTTTAACATAGTGATAGGTATGGGTTAGATCACTGTATTGCTCACACGCCTTTTTACTGGTAATTGCTAAAACAATATTCAGAGTTTTACGTCAAAAAAGCTTATTTTCTGGCGGCATGGTACTTTGGTACATCATTACGCGTTTTTCTACATGTACTTAACAGATCAGTTCGGGGTGGGTTGGGGGGGGGGGGGGGGTTCAACTTCATTCACCACTGTCCGGTCACTTTAGGTCAGTTATCCAACCCAGTGTATACTTAGCGGGGCGACGTTAATGTCGCTCTACACAATTGTGGTGGTGAGGTGGGGGGGGAGATAACCAACTCAGAGTGAACATAGCGTCAGTTTTTAGATGACTGTTCTAAACATACATATATATTACACAAATATATATTACAGAAATAGATTTAAATAAGTAGTAGTGGTATTATGACAATGTTTATTTTTACAGAGGGGTCCATGGGGGAGGGGGGTTGTAACTGTTTCATATACTTTGTAATCGTAATCACTGTCGCCCAGACTGTAAGAATACTACTACTTCATCGTGATGACGTTGTTGACCTTGTCAAAATTTCCCCACCACTACGCAGTTTGCTCATAAGTAAATTTAAATAGAGGTGCCACATCAGTTGTATTTGTTTCTCTATTGTAATTTTTTTTTAATTAATCACACGATTCAAACTGTATATATAAAGTAATTATGTGTGAAATTTTATGTATAACATTTTGTAATTCAATTATTCGTAAGCAAATACATTATACAGTTGCCTTAAACTTAACACCCCTCTTGCTAAGTGGTACTACCCGTAGAGGTTTTGTTAAACGTTACAATGCATCGTAGTGGTTATTTTTAGAATGGCAAACTGATGCAGCTGTTAATACGTGTTGTAAACGTAGACACTACTAGACTAGTACAATAATGCTAATTTCTGCATAAAAAGAAATCTTGTGATTTACATAGATGTGCCGACCAAAATTTTTTTTAACAAATATCATTGGTTAAAACTTTGAGTTTCCAAAAAGGCGCCACTTTTCTGAAAATGGCCAGAGGGAGAGCGGCCGCTCCCCCTGCTCCCCCCCTGCGTACGCTACTGCCTAAAGCATACGTCATAGAATGAACACAAGTTCACGAGATCGTCTGTCTTTACTTCTCTTCCTCCCACCCCCCCCCCCCCTCCTCAAGCAAATTGATTTTTTTTTAAGTTCACATAGGATAAATAATATAGACTTAGATCTACTATCACGCATGCTAGATAGCTAGGCCTAAAAATTAAAGGACAGTTTGATTTAGATCTAGCTAGATTGCTGCTAGATCTAGGACTATCATTTGCCCCACTTATTGACACTACAAGTACACTGTACTGTTTTTTTTTACTAGTACTAGACTCTTAGGTGTTGAAATAATATAAAACTCGACCTAGATCTATGTCAACATTAAATTGTTACAACGGAAAAAAAATCGGGCAGTCCTGAAATGTTTTTTTAGATCGCGTGCCACCTAGGGTAAAGATTAACCCTTTGAGCCCTGGCCTCCCTGGCCTAATTTCTCCCATTTCCTGAGCTCCCAGGGCCAAACCAATTTTTACTTATCTGCTTCTAACTTTGCCTATAACTTTTGAACCGTTTGAGATAATCAAGCCAAATTTGGTATCCAGACTCAGGATCAAACAACAATGCAGCAAGATTCTGAAATTCTTTAAATTTTTTTACAATGTTTGAACAGAACAATGTATATTAAACGAACACATAATTATTGTTTTGATAGAACATAGAAGAAAACAATTTACATTTAGTAAATGTTTTGTTATTATTGATACCTGGCCACACTAGTTCATCGCCAGAAGTCCACTTTTGTGTGATAACTTTCAAAACAGCTATCACTGCCGGACCCGATGCAAAGAAAAACTTCGCATGTTTTGCACAGGTAAACAGTTTTTTTTTTTTCGTTTCGGCAAGTCTTTGTCCTTGGCACCACGTGCATTAGAACGTACTCGAACAGTTTCATTGTCACTGTCAATTTCAATGTCACTGTGTTCAGTCTCAAATTCAACGTCACTATCATCACATTATAGACCAGGAATATTATCTTCTTCATCAGAATCAATAAGTAGTTGTATTGATGAGATGCAGTCATTCCACTTCTTTTGTTGATATTTCGGTCTTTTGCTTCATCTTTTGCACCAACTTTATGTGCTGAAGTCGATGGCTGTGGCTCAGCTTTTCGTTTCGGCGGCATCGCTACGAAATATAAACACTTTCACTTTTCCTAAAATCTATTTTTAGAATCATAATCCAGCACAAAAATACATATGCCCAGTTTTAGTCAGTCTTCCGCTAATTATATTTAATTAGAAGGTATACCGGCCGCTAGGAATATGACGCTAGATCATCGGCCCGGAAAACCGGCTTTTCGGACATATATGCCTAATGTTGAAGCCGGTTTACCGGCCTGGCGGGCTCAAAGGGTTAAGGGTAACGCGGAGCGAACCGCGCAAAGATGGCCTTACGCGTAACACTGAGCGAACGGCGCAAATGCGGCCTTAATATTATTAGATTAGACCTATTACGGATTACGAGATCTGGTAATCTATCGTTTTGGGTACGTAAAATCGCCCGCTGCTATTAATGTACGAAAACGTTACCTCATTGTCAAGGCTGTAATAGAAGTATATTGTGATATGTTTGTATCAAATATTATAGATAAATGAATAACAAAGCTAAATCAATGGCTAAATATATCAATAGGCCTATAGGCCAGAAATTAACTTTAAACAGCAGTGTCTGCAAGCAAGATTTGCTATATAAACAGCAGCCATTTGTAAAATAGAGTGACTTCCGCCTGAATCTTGCGCTATAAGTCTATAAAACTTTAACAAGATGGCTGCTACAGTAAATGTCAGTAAATGAGCATGGTTGCATCTGTTGGAAATATCGCTAGTCTTCATTTATTACTGAAAAGTTTTAATTCAATTGTTTAAAAACAGGTACATAAATGAAACAAGGAAACATTTTTGTATTTTTAAAACATAAATCCTCCTTAAAACGTGAAATAATTATTAAAATGTAAGGAGTCACCTGTTTTTCACATTACTAGTCGCGGGCGATTTTACGCCAAAACGATAGATTACCCGAGATCTTCTCATCTAACTTTCTCAGCCATCGGCATAAATTTACCCCCACTACGTCAGTACTACTAAAAATGTTTTTTTTACTCTGGGGAAGTATTTTATTATTACTCAATCAACCAGTCCGTCAAAGCCCATCCCACCCCTTCACATTTCCCGGAATCAGCGTTTAGATTATTAATGGAGACGAGCGAGTTGACGAGATTCCTTCCATAATGTTGTTGATATGGAATAAAAACTTGCTTTTTAGATTTAGACCGTAAAAAAAAATAAAAAATAAAAACTTAAGCCTAAAATTAATTTAGAAATTTTATATTTTTAGAATAAATGCTATAAAAGTTGCAAATCCAGAGAACTTGAAAATAATTTGTTGAGTTTAAGGCTACATTTCTATTTATTTTCATCAAGCCTAAGTTATAACCGGATGTTTCACTTTCGTAAGACAAATATTGATTGGCTGTACAGTAACTTAGTGATCGATAACTATTTGTTTACAAAACTTTGCAGATCAAGTTTTTAAATGACAATGCAAATTTAAAAAACCCATGACCTAGTTTTCTATTTTTAGCTTACAATGTGTACAATAAAATCAATGACGGCCTATCCAATAGCAGGATGCCATTGTTTATGTCGCCATTACACGTGAAAACCAAATTGTTTTTGCTTTTTTTAAAATTTTTATTTAGTTACCGAAAATATTATAAACATCAAATACATCCAATCTTTAGTAAAGTCCAAAAAAAACCAGACAGACAGGATTTTATAACCATATTAATTGTAACTACGCCGTGCCTGATTTTTAAACTAATTTATACACCTCTCAAATACCTTTGAGTTTGAGAGTTTTCTCGCTCGTGTCCATTAGGGCCTATAAAATGGCGTCCTAGGAGGTTTAATATGGTCGTCTGTACGGGCAATGGTTTGTTTCGACCGTTGATTTATTATATAATTCTATTTTTATATCATAGTGAAGATGTTATAATATTATGTACAAATAAAAAAGTCAATTATACACGCACCTGCTTTAGTTTATTTTGACTTCAAACACAAGCTGTATAAGAGTGACTTTCTCTCGTTGGCCTCGTGAAAGACAAACAAAGAAATTAGGTCAAGCTAGCATCATTATGTTAATTATTAGCCACGTAAATACATGGGTAGTTTCGAATACAAATCTATCCGATTACGATACAATTAAATTACAATCAGAAAGAAATGATTCGATATTTTATATGTCCGCCCAAAACACGGTGGCCACGAAACTGCGAGAACGAGACTTCACGAAGCGAAAACCCTAGTAGATCTACAAATCTATAAAGTAATAAAGTATAGATCTAGATTAGATACGACGTAGATCTAGGAACGGTAAAACCTTAGTTTAGCTTCGGAAATTATCGGATGTTTGTTGAGTTTCGGTAACTAGAGTTACGGTAAACCATGGTTTATTTGAACATTGAAATATATTTAATTAAATATAAATAAAGTGAAAGTCGATTGTAGCAAATTAATTTTTTAATGTTTTAATTTTATTAAGTTTAATCGACAAAAGGCGTCACAAAAGGAAACAAGAATAATAGAATAGTAGATTAAAATTAGTAGATCTAAAAATGAAAAGAAATAGGCCTATAGAATACTATAGATTCTCTATATTAAATTTATTAAATATAGGATAGGCCTAATAAATACTAAATTTATTAATATTATTATATTTAATAAATTAAATAGGCCTATAAATATTAAATAATGAAGTTAGGCCTATCTTTGATTCTTTATGTAATAATTTAACGTTTTTGGTTTGCAGCAGATTTGCGGCCATTAATTAATTAAATCTAGATCTAGCTAGCTGCTAGGCCTAGACCAAGTACATAAAAATCTAGATTACGAAAATAGTAAAAATGATTAATTAAATGATTACAAAAATAGTAAAAGTGACTAGAAACGGATCTTACCCTATTTTGAAAATGAAACAAGACCTTTGTAACCTCTTTGTATAGTACTGTAAATGTAATAAAATAAAGGTTCCTACTCGTAGGACGTCCACTAGAAGTATTAGATCTATTAGTAATAGATCTAGTTGTAGGCCTCCCTAGCACTAGATTCTAGATCTAGATATTGCCTTAGAATGCCCTCCTAGAATCTAGAACTAAATCTAGAACTAGAATTACAATTTATTAATATTAGGTGTATAATTGACTTTTTTATTTGTTCATAATACTAAAGCCTAACATCTTCACTATGATATAATAAACCGGGAGTGATCTCCCCCAAACTTTCTCGAATATTCTTATATAAAACAACAGGGGATGGGAACTCGGGATATAGTTATGATTTTTAATCCATTTTAAATACATAAACTATTTAAAATAAAATAGAATCTCATAGAAAAAAGTATTGCACACCAAGCGAACGCCGAATAAAGATGTTCATAATGGTGCGCAATATTATTAGTACTTTATAAATTTAGATGCGTTTTTGAGAAATCGGAAATAGCGTAAATTAGTACTTACCGTCAACGGAAATTACTCAAAATTTAACAGAAGGTAGAGAATTAGATCTTTTACTTACATGTGAAATTTCATTTATCTATCTGAAATAGTACTCAAGTTATAGCCTTTTGAAAAATTCAAAGTAGAAAAAGTACCACTTCCGGTTATCGGAAATCGCTCAAAAGTTGATACGGATCTACGATTTTGTTAAAATACTTATATATAAAATTTCATCAACCTAGCTGTAACGGTACTCACGTAATCGTGTTTACACACACACAGACATACGTTCAAGATTGCAAAATTATGTTTTTCCGTATCAGTGAGGTGTAAAACGTTTTTTTTTTCACGATTACAATACTTTCTCTATACTACGTATATATGAGAAAGTAAAAATAGAATTATATAATAAATCAACGTTCGAAACAAACCATTGCCAGTACAGACGACCATATAAAATCTCCAAGGACGCCATTTTATAATAATCTAAACGCCGATTCCGGAAAAGGTGAAAGGGTGGGATGGGCTTTGACGGACTGATTGATTGAGTAATACTAATAATAAAAAACTTCCCCAAAGTAAAAAAAAAAACGTTTTTCGAGCTTACATTTAAGTATTTAAAAACCGGATTATCAATGGATTGTGACTTAGTGTAGTATAAGTAGTGTAGTTAATGTAGTAGTAGTAGTACTGACTTAGTGGGGTAAAATTATGCCGATGGCTGAGAAAGTTGGATGAGATCTCATAATAATAATAATATTAATCAATAATAGTCATCATAACTCTTCTCGGTAAAACCTTAGTTTAGCATCATAAAATCCAAAGTAGCTACTAGCTAGTAATGTGTGATGGAGGTAACTAATGAATATTTCTTTCGTTTGGCCATATTTATGACATATTTTACATAATATAACAGATAATTGAATAACAAATCACAATCTATGACCAAACCATCCAAAAATATCCTGGAATAAACTTTAAACTACCCCGTTCGAGACAACAATGAGTAAATACAAGCAGTGGCCATGTTTCAAAAACAATAATAGAGTAGTTTCCCTTGAAAAATTGTCTATTCGCATATCTGTTGTGTTGATTTTGTTGTTTATTACGGTTATTTTATATTGTTTTAATATTATGCCTGTATAGTAATTTTTCTTTTTTTTTCAATATAGTTGACATGAATGACTAATAGACCTTTTCATACTTAATAGTGTGCATCCAAGACCACAACAATTGTTGTGAGGTCGAACTTTCTAGAATCTTGGGTATTCTTGAGGCTGACTCTCTGGAGTTGTAGCTTTCACTTTTGATTGGATAGATTCCGATAGATGTTCACATTTTGGCAGTTATTTATTATATTCATATTGTCTATCAGCAGGACGAAAATAAAAAAAAATAGGTTCCTGAATAATTTAAGTTCCTTCAAATATTGTTACTGTTCTGTGGGTGGCTAGTTTTTAAAATAAACTTAGGGACTAGCAATATAAAATACATAGAGAAGTCCAGTGCTAGGCTAGGGCATCAACATGGCGGTGGATGTAAACATCATGTGGTTTTGGTCATGTGTGTGCAATCTATCCATTAGTTTGACCAAAAAAAATTGTATACATTTCATAGTGTAGGTCTTGATAAGTAAATTTATAAAATCTAGATCTAAGTTAAATTTGAATGAAAAAGTTCATTTCTTTATATTCTAAAACTGGAAGAGGACACCCTTGGTGTTGTGTTCATTCCGTAGTTTAAAATAGCTAAGCCAGTTTAACAGAGTAACAGTATCGTCCCCTAGCCTTCCTTGCACTACCTGTACATAAATTAATAAATCCGTATACACAAAACTTTTATGCATGCATATATATTAGTTCCCAGCCATACGAATAAAATAGCATTGAAATTGAAAGTTTTTACAATTGTTGCAAGAAATTGCAAGTCTTATTGTGTACAAATATTGTCACAAAACTGCAAATTAGTGCCAAGCTGCCTGAAGAAATCAAGTGTTTATTAAGCAGTTTATGACAGTTTAGAACTGTAATTAACATTAATTTTAACACTTTTATTACATATTTGGATAATATTAAGCACTTATTACATACATTTAAAAACTAACAAAAGCAAATTAAGTTTTGATTTTTGTTATTAATATCTTAGTATTTCTATTTTTAACAATTTTTAAGAAACATGTAGCTTCAGATATTAATCTGCAGTCCTGATTGCTTTGCATTACTGGTTGTCCATTTTAATATTACATCTGACTGAGTAATCATTAGTAATCAGACTGACAAAAGTCTGGCATGTGTTACAAATTTTGCCATGTTATTAGTAATAAGTTGTTTTGGTTATTTAACCACCAGTTTAACATTTACATTTTTTAAATCATCAGTTCATATCTAAGAAGCTGTCCAGCATGGAGGTGGAAACAGATGTGTTAGCCGCAGTTTCATCTACTGTAGATGTACAGTCAAATGAATTAACAGGATTTTCATCTTCTGAAGATTTGAAACCAGATCTATCGGCCATATTTTCTTCTTTTGCTGGCATGAAGACAGAATTATTGTCATTTTATAATTCTCAGAATATAAAGCCTGACATGACATTTAAAACCACTCAAGATGTTAAACCTGATGTTACACCAGACTTTTCTTCTTCTGCTGACATCAAAACAGAATTATTGACATTTATTAATTTCCAGAATTTTCTTCTTCTAATGACATAAAAATAAAACCAGAATTATCATTTTTTAATGTTCAGGATATAAAACCTAACATGTCATTTAAAACTTATTAAGATGTTAAACCTGATAATACATTTTTAATTGAAAAAATTAATAAGAAACCAGCTGCATCAGCAGTATTTTCAACATCTGAAAATTTAAAACCAGAATTATCACCTACTGAAAATTTAAAACAAGATTTCACAACAGAATTTTTATTTTTTGAGGATAAACAAGAAAATGGACTTGAAGAAGATCTACAATTGTCTAGGGACAACGGAAATAAAATTGTTTATTATAATCAAACATTTTCTCAAAGTTCTAAAAGTTATATGCATAGAAATGTTCATTCTGAAGATAAGCCATATGACTGTGATGTTTGTCATGAAAGGTTTTCTCAAAGTTCTAACTTAAATCAACATAAAAAGATTCATACAGTAGAACATGCATATGATTGTGATGTTTGCCATAAAATCTTTGCAGATAAGAATGTTCTATTGCGACACAAAATTGTTCATTCTGAATATGAATGTAATATTTGTCTGAAAAGATATTTATATAGTTCTAAGTTAAAAGAACATACAAAAGTTCATTCAGGGGATAAACCGCTTGAATGTGATGTTTGTCATAAAAAGTTTTCTCTAAGTGATAATTTAAGAACACATAACAAGCTTCATTCAGGAGAAAGTCCTGTCATAAAAGGTTTTCTCAAGGTTCTCATTTAAGAGAACATAAAAATGTTCATTCAGGAGATAAACCACATGAATGTGATGTTTGTCATAAAAGGTTTTCTAGAAATTCTGATTTAAAAAAACATTAAAATGTTCATTCTGGAGATAAGCCATATGAATGTGATGTTTGTCTGAAAAGATTGTCAAATAGTTCTCATTTAAGAACACATAAAAAGGTTCATTCAGGAGATTAACCACATGAATGTGATGTTATATATAATGTTTTCTCAA